GAGGGGCCTCGCTTTGGTCCGGCCGCCCCCACCCCGGGCCACTGAGGCGAGGGCAGCGGAGGAGCAGCCCGGGCTGCCTCCGCCCAGAGCCCGGGCCGCAGCCACGCTCCCATGGCAACCAGGCCGGCCCGCGCTGTACGCCTGCGCGTCAGTCCTCAGGCGCCTGCGCGCGCAGCCACGCCTCGGGGATTCCGGCTGCGGAGAGGTCCTGCAGCCGGACGTTTCGGGTCGCGCCTGCCTAGGAAGAGAAAAGCGTTCCGGGTGGCGCCCACACACACCGCAGTTCCTGGAGGGGCGGGGAGCGGGCGTCGGTCACCCTCGTCCCGTGCTCGCCAAGTCCGCTGCCTGAGCCCTGCAATGTGTGCTGTGCTCCGCAAACCCAAGAGCGTCAAGTTGCGAGCCCTCCACAGCGAGTGCAAGTTCGGCGTGGCGGCACGGAGCTGCCAGGAGCTGCTGCACAAGGGCTGCGTCCGCTTCCAGGTGGGTGGGGGTTGCGGGCGCTGCGGGGCGAGCACCCAGGTTGCTTTTAGCACGGATTCCGTCTCTTTGGGTTTGATCGGGCTCTGGACGCCTGTAGTCAGGTGGCGTCTGGAAGCCCAGACTGGGTGGGACAAGTGCTCTTCCTGCTCTCCAGCTCCCGGTGTCCGGCTCCCGGCTGTGCTTGTACGAAGATGGCACGGAGGTGACCGACGACTACTTCCCGGGTCTCCCCAACGACGCCGAACTCCTGCTGCTCGCTGCTGGCCAGACCTGGCAGGGCTGTGAGTAGGAACACTTTGGAGATGGACCGGACCCATGCGGTTTAAGCCCGGGTCCAGGGGCCCAGGCAGGAGCCTAGTAGAGCAGGACAGGGGTGCTGAATGCCAAGAGCTTTTGCTGAGGAACTCTGTTTTCAGTGGGTTTTGATTTTGTAATTGCCAAAGGCAAGGGGGAAGGACTGGGGGAGCCTGGGGAAGGTGCTGTGCTGGGCTGGGCTGGGCTGTGCTGGGCTGTGCTGTGCTGGGCTGTGCTGGGCTGTGCTGGGCAGGGCTGGGCTGGGCAGGGCAGGGCAGGGCAGGGCAGGGCAAGGCAGGGCAGGTACGGTTCAACCTTGCCCAGGGCTGTTCTCCGACAGGTTAGTGCTGAAATGCCATCAGGGATCATGGTTTTCATTGAAGCTCTTCTAGGTAGCTGTGTGATGACACCTCATTGTGGCTCTAATCCGAATTCCCCGGTGGCTAATGGGATTGGATGTCATCTTCATGTGCTCCTATTTGCCGCCTGTAGGCACTCCTTGGTGAAGGAGTCTTAATGTCTTTTGTGTTTTTTTTTTAATCGGATTTTTAAAGCTGTTGAAGTATGTACCCCACCTACAGAAAATCCTGGTTATGACTTCCATGTCAAATAATGTGGTTTTCAATTATCTCTTGTTGTGTACCTTTTCATTATGTTTATTGGAACTGAGTTCCAACCAGCTGAGCTAACTGGCCATGCTCTTTTCATGCTCTGTAGTAGAGCAAAAGGAGGTTCAGATTTGGGAGGACAAGGTTACACAGCCGAGGCTGGCCTTAAGTGCACTCTGTAGCTAAGGCTGGCCTAAAGCTCATGATTCTCTTTTCTCCACCTACCAACTTCTAGCATTTCAGGTATGTGCCCCACACCCAGCTTCAAAGTTTTTGACTTTGGTGACATCCAGATTGTCATTTTCTTTGCTGGGCATTTTCACCGTCCAGAAACTCTTGGCAAGTCCTGGCCTCTTGAGGTTTCCTTCTGCACTTTCTCATCCGTTGGTATGTTCACAAGACCTTACTTCTTCAGCTTGTTCACACAGTGGATCTCACCAAGTTTTGAGTGTGAACCAGACTTGCAGCCTCACTTGGCTGTGGTCTGTGCTTTTTAGTTGTTCCTGGATTCTGTTTGCTCCTGTTTGGTTAAGGTCCTCAGGAGAATGCACTTGGCATTCGGCACTTTCTGGGAAAGCTCACTGTAGTTACTTGTGGAGAGGGTCTCTGGGAAAGTAGGGAGAGGGATTGGGGGGCCTGGAGGTGGGGTCCTGAGGGAACGAACAAAAGGAAGTGACTTAGTGTGGTGGAGAGATGGCCAAAAGAAGAGCAAGTGTACTTTTGTAGAGCGTTGAGGCCCATCATCTGACAGGAATGGATTTGGTAGTGTCACACCTGTGGAGGTGTCAGGTGTCAAGTGCTAGGGCAAGGGTTGGTGACACCAGAGCCTTGACTTCTGGCAGTCTCAGGGCTGAGTGGACAGGATGCTCTTCTTGGGGCCAGAGCAACATGAATGTGTTTCTGTTTGTCTCCCGGTGGTGGCAGATGTGAGTGACATCAGTCGCTTCCTCAGTGTGTTTAATGAGCCACATGCCGGGGTCATCCGGGCTGCAAGGCAACTGCTGTCAGATGAGCAGGCCCCACGGAGGCAGAAGCTGCTGGCTGACCTTCTGCATCATGTCAGCCAGAACATTACTGCTGAGACCCGGGAACAGGATCCATCCTGGTTTGAAGGTATGTGGATTGGGCTGACCATGGTGGCCAGGGTGTCTGGGGCAGGCAGAGAGGGGCCTCTTTGGAGCAGAGGTTCAGGAGGATCTCTGTCAATTTCAGATCCCGATGCTTCCCAACCAAGGGTGACTGGCCTTTGGAGTGTATGATAACAAAAGGTGCCATGGGAAGGCATGTGGCCAGGACTCCTGGCTGGAGGAGTGTCCTGGGCAGCCTCAAAACGGCATGTCTTCTTTTTCTTTTTGTTTTAAATCATTCTTCCAAAAGCCATGGCAAGATGCATGGAATGTGGAGTTTACCTCCTTACCATTAGAGAGAGAGAGAGAGAGAGAGTATGAGTGTGTGTGTGTGTGTGTGTGTGTGTGTGTGTGTGTGTGTGTGTGTGTGTGTGTGAGTCAGAGGATAACCCTGGGTGCCATCCTCAGGAATGCCATTCACCTCCTTTGAGGTGTCTTACTGGCTGGAGCCTATCAGTTAGACCAGGCTGGCTGGCCAGCAAACTTCAGGGATCTCTCTTATATACTTCATATCACCCTTGGGTCATTTAAGGTACCTGATACAATGCAAATGCTGGGAACGTAGTCATGGGCTGGTCTCTTTAATGAATAATGACAACAAAACACAGTGTGTGGAGTCCTGGGAGATGGCTCAATGGACAGTGCTTGCTGCTTAAGCTTGAGGACCTGAGTTTAGACCCCCAGCACCCATGTAAAATCCAGGAGTGGTGGCACATGTCTAACCTCAGTGTTGAGGGACAGAGTCAGGCAGATCCTTGGGGTTCATTGGTCAGCCAGTGTAGCCCAAACAGTGAGCTCCAGGTTTAGTGAGAGGCCCCATCTCAGTAAATAAGGGTAGAGAGAGACAGAGGGAGATGCTCAATGGTGACCTTTGCCCTTTACATGTGTGTGCATGGGTGAGTGCATCTGCACAGATGTGCACACACATGACACATTCATATACACCACATGCTCACACACACAAACTTAAATCCTTTAAAATGAAAAACATTCTACATTTTTGGTTCAGATGTAAGGTTTTTTTTGTGATTATTTATTTGTTTTGGTTTATCGAGACAGAGTTTCTCTCTGTAGCCCCAGCTTTCCTGGAACTCGCTCTGTAGACCAGGCTGGCCTTGAACTCACAGAGAGAGATCCACCTGCCTCTGTCTCCTGAGTGTTGGGATTAAGGGCGTGCACCATCACCTCCTGGCTTAGATGTAAGGTTTTTAAATGGTTGGTATCTGTGGTTGGGTGAATCTGTTGTGTAGAAGGCCAGTGGCACTCTGTGCATTCAGACACCTTCTCTTGTCCTGTCATCGGCACTGGCATTTGATGTCAGAGCCCATTTCATTCTGCTCAGCCCGTGCTCTGTGGCTCTGCAGCCCAACCCCCTCACCCCAGTTTCTAGATCAACAAATGGAATGCCTCCACATGGTTTCTTTCCATGTGGTGCCTTATGTGAACGGAGTCAAATCTTCCCATGTCCCCCTTTTGTCTGCTTGGCTTCTGAGCTGTGCGGGGCACAAACCAAGAGGTCGTGGTCTGTCTGTGGGCTCCAGAGTCATCTTTCTTGTAGGTTTGGAGTCTCGATTCAGGAACAAGTCTGGTTACCTGAGATATAACTGCGAGAGCCGTATCCGGGGCTACCTGAGAGAGGTAAGGCGGTGTTCAGTTCATACCAATTGAGTGCTCAGCACAGGCTGATTAGAGCGTGGGGTTCCCACCCCTCTGCTGATGCATGTCTTCAAGGTTGCTCTGTCAGCAGAAGGCATGTGTGCCTCAGAGAAGCAGGAGCTCCCTGTCTCATGCATCTGTTCTCTTCTGCACTTCAGCCTCTGACCCCGTTGTCCAGCAGGTGTTAGAACCTTTGTGGGCTGTGTCCTGTGGTTGGCAACAATCTGTGTCTTGTGCGGCTGGATGGTCTGTTCTGATGTGAACTTCATTCCATTATGGATAAGTTTTCTGCGTCACCTCCATTTCACTGATGGCACCTTCATAATTGGGTGGTAGTTTTCCCCCAACACTTCTGTTTACTTTTTCTCTGGGCACATTGAAGTCCTCTGACTTTGGAAAAGTGGAACACAGGACTGAAGATGCCTTTGCTTGGGGTGCTTTGTAGCTATGCTCCGAGTGACGCTGAGTCTCAGTGCTGGCTCTTGAGTAGACCAAGGCCTTCTCTGGGAAGAGTGGCCGGTGGCTCCAGAGCAGCTACACCTAGCTGACTCCAGGGGAAGGCTGTCCTTGATGCCCTGATACCTTCTCTCCTGGCTTCCTTTCAGTGAAGTCATGAATGCCAGTGAGGTGCAGAGTGGAAGGAGACCCTCTGTGGTGAGTGGGACCCGCCCATATTGAAGGCATGAGGTGCCCATCACTTTGCCAGGTGAGCCTTTTGTGCCTGTCTGCACTGGGCTCCACATGACTGCCTTCATTTTGTGTCTAGGTGGTTTGGGACAGCAGCTTGGCTCTTGGGGACCTTTTTTTCTCTGCTCTCCTTGAGGGCATATTTGTCAAAAGAAACCTGGGTAACTGCCCAGCAGTTGGCTTGTGGCACAGGCCTGGGGTTTTACAGCATGTCACCCCTGAGCTTCTTGATTGAAAGCTGATCAGTAAGGCTGTTGTCTTCCTCCATTCACACACTCCTCTGAATCTTTTCCTGCTGTGCAGCTTGAACTAAGCATTAGTGTCTGTGGGGAAAACCTGGCATGTGCATGTGTTCCCAGAGCCCTCTCTGTTGGTTGACACTACCCCCACTTCCCATGGGTATGGAGGACCTACCTGATCAGCGAGCCTGAGACCCTGACTGCTGTGGCTGTTACTGTGGACACTGCCTGCCTGCACTGGGCCTGCTGGGCTCTCAGGCTATAATTCCATTGGGAATGCTCTGGGACTTCCTTAAGCTGCTGTGACCCTACCTGGAGTGAGGTCTGCAGGAGCACGGTGGCAGACAGTGGGGACAGTGGTGCTCTACGCCTGACAGCTCTGCCCAGGTTTCTTCTAGGTGGCAGTAGCCAACCCCAGGCAGACAGGAGGGCAGAGAGAATAATACAGAGAGCTTGAGTTTGCTGGACTCAAAGCTGAGGAGCCAGCAGAGGCCTGAGTAGCCAGGCAGCTGGAACAGCAGGTGTGGGTGCCCCTCCACCCTGGACTTTCTTTGTTTTTAAACCTTTTATCTTTCTCCTCTCCCTTCCCGAGTGGGGACAGCTTGGTCTTCATTGTGTGCTCATTTGCATAGAAGGTCCTCATTGGTCAGCTTTGCCTTCATTCTCTGCTCATTTGCATGTAAGGCTCCTCCTTGGTTGGCAGGCAGAAAGTGGCTGTGTGCTGCCCCTGTATTCCCCATACTCAGCTTAACCCATAGTTAGTGTCATAGCCGCTAATGTTCTGGTGTCCTGTGTTCTGTACCCCATGTGGCCTTGGTGATTGCCCCACATGACCTAACATTGTAGGTGCCCTGACTGGTACCTACCCTCTGGCTGCACTGAGTCCTTTTGTCACCTGAGCACAGGGGGAACATTGCTCCTGCTGACTATATAATCTTATACCCCCCACCCCCCCACACACACACCATGGGATCTTGGTATTTAGAGTAGCTGGCCTTTTGGATCTTCCTTCCTCAGCCTCCCAAGTGATCCGATTACAGATGTGCACCACTCTGCCTGGCCTGTTCTTGTTTTCTTCTCCCAGCCTGATGGGAGTATTGTCGATTCCATTTCACGGGCCCAGAATGGTTTCCTAGGCTGTGATAGTTGAGCAGACACTCTGACTGTAGGACTGGGCCTCAGCAGGTTCCTGACGACCAGTGCATGGCATAGGTTGGAAACTGAAGCAGGCTTTTGGGCATGGGCAGGGTATGGACACAGGCTCAGCGATGCCTCTGGCCCACTCTTCCAGGTGAGTGCTTACACCTCTGTGGTGGATGCAGCGGCCCGAGGAGAATTCGAGCGGGTCCTTAGTTCCATGAGCCAGAAGCTCAAATCTGTGAAGTACAACGGCAGCTACTTTGACAGGGGTGCAGAAGCCAGCAGCCGTCTCTGCACTCCAGAAGGCTGGTTTTCCTGCCAGGTGAGATTTGTCGACAGGGGTGCAGAGGCCAGCAGCCGTCTCTGCACTCCAGAAGGCTGGTTTTCCTGCCAGGTGAGATTTGTCGACAGGGGTGCAGAGGCCAGCAGCCGTCTCTGCACTCCAGAAGGCTGGTTTTCCTGCCAGGTGAGATTTGTCGACAGGGGTGCAGAGGCCAGCAGCCGTCTCTGCACTCCAGAAGGCTGGTTTTCCTGCCAGGTGAGATTTGTCGACAGGGGTGCAGAGGCCAGCAGCCGTCTCTGCACTCCAGAAGGCTGGTTTTCCTGCCAGGTGAGATTTGTCGACAGGGGTGCAGAGGCCAGCAGCCGTCTCTGCACTCCAGAAGGCTGGTTTTCCTGCCAGGTGAGATTTGCGCCCTTTGTTCTGGGGTCACTAAGTACTGCTGAGCATAGCCCTCCTTGGGTGAGAGGCAGGAAGGACATTCGGCAGCTGGCCTAAGAGTAGATGCTGGTGACCCTCACATTCAGAGTGCGGGAGGAGGTAGGGATGGAGGTGTGCAGTTTTTGGTGTGTTAGTCTGTGGTAACATCAGAGCACAAAAGCATGCTGGGAGTAACAGGTCTGCTCCTGTGTGGACCTGTAGAGCCATCTAGCAGAGGATGGTTCTCTAGCAACAGGGACAGAAATGCCTTCACCTTTTGGAAACTCAGATTACAAGTTCAGAGGCAATGGAATGTTGGAGGCAGGTAGAATTCCAAAGACAGAATTTTTAAAAAATTAGGTTTATTTTTTATGTATATGGGTGTTTTGCCCATGTATGTGTCTGTGCACATGTGTGCCTGGTTCCCTGTGGAGGCCAGAAGAGGGTGTCAAATCCCCTAGAATTGAAGTTACAGATGTGGTTACAGTGTGGTTCTGGGAATGAAACTTTGGTCCTCTAGAAGAACAGCCCATGCTCTTAATCTCTGAACCACCTCTCCAGCCCACAAAGAGAATTTTTAATCGCTGATGAACAGCAAACACTTTTGTGTTTTTAAAATGAGGTCTTAATATGTAGTTGAGGCTAGACTTAAGATCACTATAAGCCCAGACTGACTTAATATTTGTTTTATTTTTGTGTATATGTATGTAATGTTTGTGTGTGAGTGTATACATTCCACGGCATGGGTGTGGTCAGAGGACAAACCACACCTGGCTTTTATATGGACTCCACCATCTGAACATGGTTCTCAGGCTTGTGTGGCAAGTGCTTTTCCCATTGAGCCATCTCCCTGGCCTTAAACTCTAAATCCTCCTGCCTTTGCCTCTTAGTCCTGGGGATACAGGTGTTGCCACTGCCTGGTTCAAACTTCTGTTCATGGATAAAATGCCTGTGGGGCCTGCTCCTTAATAAGCTTGTTGGTTTGGAGAACAGTACTGTACCTCACCCCTACCTTTCCAACCCTGCCTTGGTCACTGCAGGGCCCCTTTGACATGGATAGCTGTCTTTCCAAGCACTCCATCAACCCCTATGGCAACAGGGAGAGCCGGATCCTCTTCAGCACCTGGAACCTGGATCATATGTGAGTGTCTGTCACCAAGATTCAAGTTCACTCAGCAGAACTAACCCAGCATCTGGCGGGGTTCCTATCCCTGCTCAGGTCTGGTCCGCTGCACCTGTGTGGTTCAGGCCCAGGGATAGACCGCACGTGCTTATGGAAGGGGCTTCTGGAGAGATGCTGCTGGCCTACCAAGTGTCAGTGCCCAATGCTAAGCTGTCTCTCTGCCCTCCTGCCCCATCTGTGGTGAATCTGGTGACCTGGCTCCCCATGGCTCAGTGTTCTAACATTGTATGCCACATGTATGAACCAGAGGAGCCCACTTTTAGGGCTGTGGTGTGGGAGGTCAGGCAGGGCCAGTAGGATGGTGTCACAGCTGGGCAGGTTGCGGCCTTTCCTGAACCAGGGCAGGGCAGATACATATTTCTGCAGCTGTGGTTCTATCTTACCATAACTACCCTTGGCCTTGCTTTAGGAAGGCAAAGTGCTCCAAGTACCCCCAAATGGCTATCTGACTCTTGGAATCAAAATTATTAAGAGTATATAAAAAGTAAGTTATATTTGAGGGTCCCTTTATCCCTCAGTACTCAGTGCCTCCTCCCTGTTGCCAGGGGAAGCCACTGTCCTGAAATGTGCCCTGTTAATGCCTCTTGTACACCTTTACCAGGAGGTGTGGGTGTGGGTGCTGCTGCTCTCTGGCTCTGCAGTGCTCTGTCTGTCCACACAACTCAGGTGAACAGCACAGACTCCGTGACTTGTTTGCAGGCGCCAACCCCACATTTGTTCCCCTACTGGGCATTTAGGTCATTCTGAGTACTCATCGCTCTCTAACTATGGTATGAAATGTAAGTTTGCCAGTTCCATGCTTGACAGTCTGATCTGTGGACTGGTTGCATCCACAGCTGGTGAGGAAGGCAGACTTGGGCCCTGCCTGGCATCATGAGGGTGTCTGGGCATCTGGTACACTCTAGATGAGAAAGACTGCCCTGGCTCAACCTCCAGTCTCCTTGGGAAATTAATGCCTGTGGTCCCCTTCTCTGGATGTCCAGTTCACGCGATTGCCAGTTGCTTCATGTCCTTGCCACCACTCGGTGTCACTGTTGCCTCTTTGCTTTTCCCTGTCTGAGGAGAGCACCCACTTTGCTGCTTCTGTGTTTCCTGGCCCCTGAGAAGGCATTGTGGCTCTGCCGTTCATGGCTTTCATGTTGCTTCCTTTTGCTCATTGTTTACTTTTTGTCCTGGGCACTGATTCTCTCTTAGCTGGCTGTGAGAGAGATGTTGCTCTATTTTTGGCACATTTCTGATGTCTTTTGTAACAACTGGATGGGGTGGCTGTAGGGAGCCCTACAAGACTAGACCCATTTCTTAGGGGCTGGCTGCAGGTCCAGAGTGTGCACAGGTCCTGCCATTCTTCCTGTGTGTTTGGGGCCTCTGTCTGCCCCCCATTGTCTGCAGCTGCTTTTGCCCTGTGTTCAACTGCAGCGAGTTTTGCTTTTATTTTTATTCCTACTTTCTGCTCCTTTTAGTGTTTCTCCTTGTTCTCTAGTTTCTCTCTTTTGTGTTTTAGCATCTGCTCAAGGCTACATGTTTTCAGCTACACCTGACTTTAGTGTTTTCAGATCTGTGTGAAAGACTCTGATGTGTGAGTCTTTGGAGGTCCCAGAGCTGTTCTGTCATTTGATGTCACTCTGCTCATCCTTCTTGTGCTCTGGTACCTGAGGGTCGAGACTTTCTACACACACTACACTGTTTACTTCACACACCGCATGCTAGGTTTTTCTTGACATCAAAGAGGGTGTCTCTTGCTGGTCTAACTGAGACTGTCCTGTGTGAGCCCCTTGTTCCAGTGGGTATAGTGGCTGCTCAGTATTTGCTTGATGTTTTATTGCATGAATACGTGGGTTTGAATTCATCTCACGTGCTATTTTCTGCACCGCCTGTTTGCCTGGTCTCACTGTGCACCCTGGACCCACTTCACTCTTCCAGGGCTGTTTTTCGGTGTTGTCCCACCTGGCCTTACGCCTGCACAGATGCTTGTTTTCATGTCAGTGCCTACTTACGCCTTCCTCCTCGCTGCTCACTGCCTCCTGCATCTCCCTAGTGGTCCTAGTGCTTCTTAAGGGGGTCCGCGGGTGAACACCCTCTCTGAACTTCTACCATTGAGTGAGTGGAGAGTGACTGTCTCACACTGGGTCTGGGATCACAGCCATCTAGGTCTCTTCTGCACTCCCCGGAGGGAGGCTGATCACACTGATTCCTGGCATTTGCTCATGGGCGCTGCTGTCAGTATTCTGCCTTTTCAGTCAAGACTGGTTTGTTCCCCGTAACTGAAAGTGCCCCACATCCAGAGACACATCTTTCTTTTTGGTTCTACCATGACTTACTGTGACTTGTCCTCCGTTCTGGAGAGTTCTGGTTCTTCTCTGCAGCATTCTGGGGACTTCTTGCCACCCACCCTCTTCATGCTGGCTCTGCTTGCATGCTCTGGCTCATTGCTGTTGTTTCTGGATAACTTTCTGCTATGGACTCAATTGCATCCCCCCACCCCCCTCGCCACATTGAAGCTGTCACCCAATGAGACCAAATCTGGAGATAAGTCCTTTGGGAAACAGTTAAGGTAAAAATGATGTCATAGGGAGGAGAGTAACCCAACAAGAACAGATATTCTTGTAAGTGGGAGAGCTTGTTCAATGCTCTCACTGCTGTGTAAGGGCAAGCCAGCAAGTTGGCCCTGATCAGACCAGAGTACTGTGCAGTGGCTTCAGAGCTGTGAAGCAATGAATGTAGGGGGGGCAGTTTGCTTTCCACTCTGCTGCTCTTGTGACTGCGTTTGGGTCTGAGTTTCTTTGGTGGCCATCCTTCTATTATCGCCTTGACAAAGTATCTCTGCAGAGTAGATTTGCATTTGTTCCCTGTGGATGTCCCAGTTTCAGTGGCTCTGAAGTAACATGACATTGGTTTTACTTGTCATTTCTGTGTCACATTGGTCATACACACTTGGATCACATGCCTATGGGAGACACAGGCTTGAGGGGGTCTGCGGGCACCTGTGTAAGATGGGTATGTGAACAAACAGCAGTCACTAGGGGATGAGAAGTACTCACACATGGGGCTTGGCTTTGTTGAATGGCCATGTGATCAAGGCTGGCCTTGCATTCTTTTTAGTAAGTTAAGCAGTGGCCACTATTCAAGTTTGCAAAGTAAGACAAGCAGCATTTGCTTGCACTGGACTCTGCTGCACTGACCAAGCCCACCCACGGTCCATGGCAGGGATAGGTAGTGTCACCAGTGTGTCAAGCACGGTGCTGGGCTCCTCTGGTGACTCATCCATAAGTTCTATCCATTTTACTGCCTCTGCCCTTCTGGGATATTCCCAGCTTAGGTTCCTTAAGAATCTTCAAGATCCTCTCATCTTCAGGTTTCTGTTGCTGTGATAAAACACTGACCAAAAGCAAATTGGAAGTGGGAGGGAGGGTTTATTACATCTGAAAGTGTACAGTTCATGGTGAAGGGAAGTCAGGACAGTAACTCAAGGCAGGAACTGATGCAGAGCCCAGTGCTGTTAACTGGCTTGTTCAGCCAGCTTATCTGACCCAGGACCACCAGCCTAGGGGTGGCACTGCCCACAGTGAGCTGGGCTCTCCCAAATCAGTCATTAATCAAGAAAATGCTTCACAGACTTGCTTCCCAGCAGTCTGATAAAGTCATGTTCTCAATTGAGGTTCCCTCTTCCTAAATGACCCTAGCTTGTGTCAAGTTGACAGAAATCTAACCACTACAGCAGGGTATTTGCTGTGGTAGACGCTGTGCTATGAGTGTCTGTGGCTGATGGGAAAGTGCACAGCACCCTGTGGTGTGTGGCACTGACAGCAGATGGGCTGTCTTCCCCTGACTTGGCAGAATAGAGAAGAGGCGCACCGTGGTGCCCACGCTGGCTGAAGCAATCCAGGACGGGAGGGAGGTGAACTGGGAGTACTTCTACAGCCTGCTTTTCACTGCTGAGAACCTGAAGCTGGTGCACATCGCCTGCCACAAGAAGACCACACACAGGCTTCAGTGTGACCACAGCAGGATCTACCGGCCCCAGAAACGGTCCAAGAAGAAGTGGCCTGCTCGGAAGCGCCAGTGCCACACACTAGGCCCTCTGTGAGGTGACTGCAGTGGTGATGGGCTATTATGTTTACATTTTGTCACTCTAGAAGGTTCTAGAAGAGCCTTTAAGGTCTTTGTGACAGTCTGATCTGAGTATCTCCCCAGTTTGCTTGCCCAGCCTCTGACAGCCCAGTGTACAGAGGACAGTGCTCACGGTGTCCCTGTGGCAGCATCTTCATGCTCATGGCTCCTGGGCTGAACTTGGCCACTGTGGTATGAGGGATGGTATGTATTAGTTTGTGCCTCAGCTTTTATGGCCTTCATTTCCACTGCAAATGGCAGCTCTGACTACATTCCTCTGAGAGAAATGGTGCTTCTGGGGTAAATGTTTGCATTTCTAAGGAAAATGGAGAATGTTCTCTGCTGAACTGTTTTAAATGGCAGAAGGTGAGAAGTCTTCCAGATGTCTCCTGGTGAGAACAGCTGACTGGGGCATTATCTTGAATCATGGGAAATTGCTGTATTTCATGGGTTAAAAATGGCTGCCTGTCATGAATCTCATGAGTCAGCACTGATACATGTGTGCACAGTTGAAGCAGGTTTAAGCTTTTATGTACAAATGGGAAGCTGGTAAAGGCACGGATGGCTTACCTGTGCAGAGAATGTATGATACTTCTGCTTCATCCCTAGAGCTGGGATTACAGGCATGTACTACCACACTTGGTATTTGGTTTTGTAAACGTGCAGTTTGTGCAGACAGTCTGAGAAATGCCACACTATGGAAGCAGTAATCCTGGGGTATTCAGCAGGATGAGATTCAGTCACCAAATACTCATTTCCTGCACCATGTATTTTATAGTACTTGATTTGTTTTTTTCCCTTCTGAGATGGGATCTCACTATGTAGCTCTGGCTGGCCTGGAATGCACTATTAGATCAACTTAGCCTTGAACTCAGAGTTTTGCCTCTGCCTCCTGAGTGCTGGGATTAAAACTGTGTGCTACCACGACAAGCATTATTATTTTTTTAAATGAGTATTTTTTATGTTTTATAATGTTTGGATTTTTACCATATTTTAATTATCATTTTTGCCATATAGTCAGAAAAACAATAAAGAGTTTCCAAAATAGACATGTCAAAAGTTTGCATGTATTGAGGAAGATGGGACAAAGGGTGCGATACCAGCAGCCGGTGACTGAACCTTGCCTCAGCTGAGTCCATCTGCACAGTGATGCATGGTAGTGCCTCAGGTCAGTGGAGTGGAGCATAGAGGAGCCTGCTGCTTGTCTTCCAGTCATGGGTGCACACTGTTTACAGTGTCTGTCTTCTTCCGTTTTTCTGAGGGCTGCCCTTGTTAAGCCAGGGCATGCAAAACCACTACCCTCTACCAGGACTGTGCTCTCTATCTGTCTCTCTCTCTCTCTCTCTCTCTCTCTCTCTCTCTCTCTCTCTGTGTGTGTGTGTGTGTGTGTGTGTGTGTGTGTGTGTGTGCTCCTGAGTGTAGTATGTTAGTGCACCATGTGCATGTGGGTGCCAGAGGTCAGTAGGATTGGATACCCCAGAACTGGAATTACAGGGGGTTGTAAGCCATCATGTGTGCTGGAACCCAATCTGGGTCCTCTGCAAGAGCAGCAAGTGCTCTTAGCAGCTGAGCCCTGTCCTCCACCCCAAGTTGGATACTTGTGGCCTTCTGTTACCCACACCCCTGCCAGTGTGTATAGGGGAGGATTGCTCTGCACCCCTCCTGACCTGAGGCTCCGTTTCTGTAGTTGGTGGAATGCAGAAATCCACTCTTGTTGCAGCTGGACATGAAACATGAGCTTTGAGTGAAAGCCAGAAGGCTGTCCTTGATGGGACATGCTTTGCCTGCTTCTGGGCCTTCAGCTGGTCAAGAATGATGGAGTGGTGGGTACAGGTGAGAAATGTCACAGGCAGGAGTTGTCACACAGTCAGTGAGAGACAGCGGAAGCCTGGGACCCAGGCAAGCTCAGGGAGTCTCAGCTGCACAAGCTCAAGGGCAGTGAGAAATGGTTCAGAAGTCAGACTGCTGTGAGGCACTGACAACTAACGTAGGAAAAGGCGAGGGCTTAAATACCCCAGCAAGGCAGAGCCACACAAGCAACCCAGGGAAGTTCTGGCTTAAACCTGTGAGTCCAAAGGTCTTTGCTGGGTGAATTGTCTGCCCCAGGCCCTGGGCCCATTTGACCTTCGGGGAGACTGGAGTGTGAACAGCAGGTCTTCAGCAAAGGGCAAGGTAACTGACCTCCAAAAATATCCAGGACCTGAGTGGACTGTCTCTCACTGTCTTGGGAATGATAGGATTCCACAGGGAGGGTACCCAGGAACTCTCATGTTAATTCCTCTGGACCTGCACTCACGGCCCATGCAGTGTCCTCTTGCTGTATTCACTGGTTTCTGAACCCTGGGAGACTAGTCCCAACAGACTAATACTGGGAAGACAGGACATGCTTGTGTCACAGGTACCCATGACTGGAGCCTTCATGGGGCCAATCTGCAGACGCCAAACTGGCTTTGGCACTTTTATAGACTTTGTGAAAGTTGTAAGAAGTCACTCTTGTAACAACTGGCTGGCTCAGGCTTTTAAACAACCTAGTGTATCTCCCCAAGCATATTCTAACAACAGCTTTAGTGTGTGTGTGTGTGTGTGTGTGTGTGTGTATGTGCGCGCGCGTGTGTGCGCGCGCTCATGCCATGTATGGCTTGTTTGTGGAGGTTGGGCAACCTTTGGAGGCCACTTCTACCATGTGGGCTCTGGGGATTGAACTTACATCTTCAAGCTTGGCAGCCAGCACCCTTGCATGCTGAACCTTGTCTATTTGTTCTTGAGTTGTTTGGTTTTGCTGCTGTGGACTGTCTGTGAACACACACTGCTGCACCTGTGTCCTTTTGTGCCTGACATCCCACACCCACCCACCGCCCTGTCTGTACTTTCACAGAGGATGCCCGGGTTCTGAGACAGGGCGAGGAACTTAGGACTATGTCCATTTCAACAGCCTTTTCCAATTCCCACAGGAAAGGGTTCCGTTAGCTTCCCAGGGCTGGATGACTGTTGAAAGGGAGCTGACTGCATTCAAGTCACGGGGTCAGTAAGGATGGGAAAAGGGTACCTGCTGAGGCCTGCTGCAGGCTGACACTTTGTCTTGGTGCTTCTTTCTACCCAGTGACCATCAGCAGGGTGGGCTATAAGTAAAGGAAGGAAGCAGGCTCCATTCCCCATTTTGCTGGCCATGGTACGCCTGTCTTCTTTGGTAGGCATGGTGTGACTAGGGATGCTCACTGATGTTTGCTCATGGGAACCACACAGCTGTTCCACCAGGAACTGTGGTGTGTCTTTTCCAGGGCCGAGCAATATAGGGCTGTACATTACTATCCCTGACTACCAGAAGATGACCACAAAGCAATAGCTTTAAATTACTGTCCATCAACCATTAAGTTACAAAACTAAGTAGGTGAAGGCCAGAGCTAAGAAGATCTCAGTGGAAGCCGAGAAGGTCAGTGGGGGAAATTAGCTGTTGGGGGGTGGGCATGTCTGTCTGAACAGGAACACAACTGAAAACTCCTCAGAGGCCTGGGACTTGTTGCTCTTGCATAGGGCCCACATGGCTAGCCTCAGTCCCAGCAGAGCAGGGGAGGGGCCGTCTCGATGCCTCTTGGTCAGGGCCTGTACCGAGGGCCTTGCGTCTCCTGCTGGCTAATGGACCTGAAGGGTGGTCCCGGCTTTGGACACCATTCATTTCTTCTCAAGGTTCTCAGATATTTGAGAGATGGCCGTTTTGGGGACATAATATTTCCTTAAAAGTATTTTCAAAATATACTTTATTTACTTCTCATATGCACTTTGTAAAAACTATAAGGTATATGATTAGCTTCACTCAGAAACAGGAGTCCTTCCAGAAGAAACTGAATTCATCTCCAGTGGTCAATTTGGCATGGAAAGCAAGCTTGTGTTACCAAAACCACAGCACCCAGGGATTTTCCTTATTTCCTACTGCCCAGCCCCATGCTGACTTGTGCTAGCATGGCACGTCTATGGAGGAGGAAAATACAGCAGCACAGAGGTGGTGGCAGCCGCTTGTGGTCATGAGGGACCCTTCTGTAGGAGCCCAGTGTGTGCACTGGTGACGTTCATGTCAGTTGTGTTCAGTTACAAACATGTTCTCTTGGAGATGTATACAGAAATCTTAACACTTGCTGTGCCGTTTGAGTGAACTACTAAGCAGTGAAGACACCACTCTACATCTCTGCGTCATCCTCCTCCTCATCCTCTTTGGCCCTGAAATGCATTTTTCGGAATTCTCGCCTGCTCATGGAAGGACAAGATGAAGAGGCTGGTGGCAGATCCTTAGAGGGGAAGAAAACACGACTTCAGTCTTGAGTGGCATTGCCTGGGCACCCAGATCCAAACCCGACCATGGTCTGCCCTGGGCCTTGCAGAGCAGGCCTCTGTTTCAGACATGGGAGGTGGTCCCTTGGTAAGAAAGATGCTATACTCCAAACTAGAGATAGCAACAGAAACATGATTGTGTGTTCACAAAAATCACAGATCTGACTTCCTAACCTTGTTCAAGGCCCAAGACACACCCAGGAGGCTGAAGTCTGGGACCCTGCCTTCCCAGCCTTTCAAACTGGAGTTGGTTCCCAGCCTATGAGCCTGAGAAGGGGGGCGGTGTGGGAGAGGAGCCTCCAAATAGCACACAGCTCATTTTCTTTTTCTCCTCTTGCACGAATGCAATCCATTTATGTTTGCCTTCGTGTTGTGGCATTATGGGCACAGTAACCTGGGAGCACATGGTGGTAGGTAGCTGCAGCTTGCTGCCCAGGCAATGTAGGAGAGCAGGAGGTAACGCTTACCTGCATAAGCTCAACATTCCCGAAGAAGCGACTCACAGGCATGGGCTGGTTGCTGTCATCATCTAGAAAGACGCTGCTGTCCATCTGAAGCACAGGTGCCCGCACCTCCTCTGTCCTGGGCGCAGGCTCAGCCTGTCTGGCAGAACTTTCATCAGGCTCCTGGGCTGCCGCAGCACTGCTGGGTTCTGCTGTGGGCAGGCAATCTTCAGTCTTTGCTGAGGGTTCCTCGCTCACAGCCTGGGAGCAGCCCTGGGGAGGCTCTTCCCTCTCTGGCACAGGGACAGCAGTCTTAGCACTGTCCTCTGCAAACTCATTTTCACAAGGGGCCACAGGGGCCACTTTTGACAAAGAAGAAATGTCACGTTTAGGGTCAGCTTTCTGCAATTCTGCCTTTACAAGGTGACCTTTGTCATACTTGAACTTTTTGGAAGTGCGTTTGTCTGTGGTCTTTTGTGATGAAGCCTGCCAGGAAAGAAAAATGTAAGAGAAAGCCAGACCCATCTGGCAAAGGCACAGGACTCAGTCTCAGGACCCCCCCTTCTTCCTCTGCCACCAGTCACCATCTGTCCTGCCACTAAGAGGCAGGACAGACTGGAGGCCAAGGAGGACTCCACAGCGCCACTCCAACAGGCGGTTTTCTGAAGTGCCTGCCTACTTGCTTTAAGATCATAGTAGGGACACGCAAAATGGCTTAGTGCATAAAGGTGCCTGCTGCCAAAATGACATCCCAGGACCCACAGGGTGAAAGGAGAATCTTCTACTTCAAGTTGTCCTCTGACTTCAACCTATGCACTGTGACATGTGTGCCTCTCCTTCAAACAGATAAAAATGTAATGTAAAAAATGATGTAAAAGATCCCAGTTTCCATCTCCCCACTCCAAGCAAGCTCCTGGCTCTTTGCTTTTTTTGTGACAGTGCCTGGACATTGTAGGCATCAGCAGACACCCAGGCTGGCTTCAGCAAAGTGTCAGTGTGCTGTCCTGAGTAAGCGCTGTGCGAGGCCAGTTGTAGATGTGTGCCCCAAGCCCCAGCTACGTCATTTGGGGATGAGATTCCCTTACTAGGGCAGCTGCACTGTGATGTGTAACAGACCACTTGTGAGTCCTTTCCTTGCTGCCTGACTGTTCTCTCAGCTTTAGGGGTGAAGCAGGTGACAGACTCACATGGCTGGGCAGGCCACCTTCAAAGTGGCACAATGCACAAAGCTGAGCCTTAGTGTCTGGATTGCTAGCACACTTCTGCACACATGGTGTTGGTGCACAAAAGGAAACTCAGCTGCACTGCCACGAGCACCCCTCTCTGACAGCAGGGACGGCACTGTCACATGGCCTGAAATGTCTCCCAGGCTACACACAGCAGCAATGGCTTCTATTTCACACAACACGTCTCGGAGTGACAACTGTGGGAACGGATGGAGCCAAGGCCTTGGTGTTCTTGGTAGTGAAGCTCACCAGACATGCTGTCTTGGCGGATGTGGAGCTGGCAATGTCCTCGGCAGGGGCCGAGCTGGCTGAAGAGTAACGGCGGGCCCGAAGGCGTGCTGAGGATCGCACTCCACCTGTGAGCTAGACAAGAATGAAGCTCAGAGAGCATGCTTTGGGCAGAATGCCAGTACAGAGCTGTGGGTGCTCAGCTCAGAGCCTGCCCACATTCCCTCACAAGGCTGCTATGGCCCATGCTGCTTCAACCCAACTGTCCAGGTTTAGATACAGGGTCCAGGGCCAGAGGGATGGCTCAGTGGGAAAGAGCGCTTCCCACTAGGACTGAGGACCCGATTCAATCCTAAAGATTCAAATAGTGGAAGACAAGAACCAACTTCTGACGATTGTCCTCTGGCTTCTACCTATGCTGGGTACATGCCACACAGGTGGTACAGCACACGCGTGCACACAAATACAACTGAAGACAAAAGCTGGCTGTGTGCTTGTCCATGGTGGAGGTTTGGGACCATCAGTCCCCTTGTCTTGTATGTTTCCAAGAACCAGCATGGTAGCAAGTGGACATGAACTCATACCCGTGTGCCTCTCTCTCCTACAGAGTCTTATGTAACCCGGGCTGGCCTCAGACTTGCTATGTAGCTAATGAGGACCTTGCACCCCTGAACCTGCCTCTATTTCCCAAGTGCTAGGATCACAGATGTGAGCTGATACATTTGGCTTATGTGGGATGGAGAAATGAACTGTGCTTCATGCATGCTAGGTAGGCATCCTACCAACTGTGCCATATTCCTGACTCCACCCCTTAAAATATTTTTTTTGAGAAAGTTTTCATTAAATTACTTTGACAAGTCTTGAATGCAAGATCCATCCATCTGCCCTAGCTTCTTGAGTGCTGGGGTCACAGATTGTCATCACACACAACTGTCTCACACATCATCTTATTGTCCTGGCTGACCGAGAACTCCCCATGTAGCCTAGGCTGGCCTTAAATTTACACACCAGCACATATGTAAGGGACAACAATAAAGGAAGAGAGCAAAAAAAGTATTCGAAGAAATAATGGTTGAAAACTTCCTGTGTTTACTGCAAACAATAATCTATACATTGAGGAATCTTAACAAACTCAACTCCAAGTTGACAGGCTACCTCTGACACAAGAGAGAGGAGAGGATAGACCCGTGGACACACCATCCCCTGTAGCAGTGCTAATCTTGGAAGAACTGGTAAGAAACCAACCCCTTACTTTGCACAAACAGTGGGAGTCACAGTGAATACACTTGGTGCACTTAAAAAAAAAAAGTCAATTAAGAAAATCTATACCAGAAAACCTGTCCTGCAAAATAAAGGCCTGAATAAAGACATTTCTAGATGCCAACTGAGGACTGTTGCTTTAGAACTGCTGGGAGTTCTAGCTGAAGCTAGTGACCCCAACAGTAACCAAAGAAACCACGCACTGGATCACCCCTCCCACAAGGGAAGTCCTTGTACAGAATATTTTAAACACACTTCTCTCTAAAGGCAGTAACATAGGGGGTGGGCATGAAGGAGCCTTGCTGGCCTAAGGAAGTGGCTGAAGCGGAAGACGGTGTAAATCCAGGGCTGGACTGTCAACAGATGTCTAACAAAAGACCACAAAAGGCGGGGAGAGAACTACACGAGTTAGGTCATTCTGTATCTCACTGGAACTGAGGCAGTACAATTCTGAAAATACCCACACAAGGAAGTAAAAAGCACAGTGGGAAAAATGATTCAAGTCAAACCTTAACGTCTGCCTATTCAAGAGGGACAGCAACAAAGACAATACCAACGTGGGGCACAGTTACCTATCAACACTACACGCAAACGCCTACACAGGTCCACCCGAAGGCCGGATGTCTGCCTGGATTTTGGCCACCTGTAGGCAGACAGCAGCCACACCTCCGGCTGAAGGGCACTAGTGAAAGGAGTGGGAGTTCACGGTACCCGCCAGGCCAGGTCAGAGCCCCTTTGCAGCTGCGGATTGGGCCCAGTCCCCCTCCCTGCTGTCACACTGCCAGTCCCTGCCCAGTCAACACGACACAGGGGTTTGGCTGAGGTCAGCTACACCATGCAGAGTGGAGGGGAGGGAGCCGGGGCGGCCACCTGCACTGTCAGGGGCCGCCTCCAGTGCGAGCGGCAGACTTGCGGCCCTCACCCCACTCCTGGGGCAGGGCCTGTGGCGTTGGGGTGGGACGGGGTGCACGGTCTTGCGCTCCCAGGGGCGGAGCTGGGGGTCCAAGGCGCCCAGGGCAGGGGCCGCTGCCAGGCCGCCTCGCGATCACGTGCCGCAAGCAAAGCCCGCCCCTCCCGACAGCGGGCCGAACGCGCTTCCGGGAACTTGAGCCTAGGGCGGAGCGCCGGAAGCCGGGCGGCGCGCCCATCACGTGCTGCCTCCGCGGCCGCCATGTTTGAGAAGGGCGCTCCTTAGGATGCGTAAGTCGCCATTTTGGAAAAGGGACATCACGTGCTGCCTCCGCGGCCGCCATGTTTGAGAAGGGCGCTCCTTAGGATGCGTAAGTCGCCATTTTGGAAAAGGGACATCACGTGCTGCCTCCGCGGCCGCCATGTTTGAGAAGGGCGCTCCTTAGGATGCGTAAGTCGCCATGTTGGAAAAGGGACATCACGTGCTGCCTCCGCGGCCGCCATGTTTGAGAAGGGCGCTCCTTAGGATGCGTAAGTCGCCATGTTGGAAAAGGGACATCACGTGCTGCCTCCGCGGCCGCCGTGTTTGAGAAGGGCCAGCTCTCCGGCTGGGGGCCCTCCTCTCTCTCACTCTGGTCTCGGCCCCTTCCTTCCTACCCTGCGGGGCCACCATCAGCTCGGGGTCCCATTTACCCTCAGCGAAGCCGAGGACGGGCGGCCCTGGCCTCTTTGCGGGCCTCGGCAGGCGCTCAGAGGGTCGGGGCACTTGCAGTCCAACCTGACAATTAGACTTTGACCTCAAGATACCCACAAGGTGTCCTCTGACACGACGGACACTCCATCCCGAGACCGACTCATTCTCCCTCCAAATAAATAAATAAATAAATAATATGAAAATAAGAAAGAGCTTCAAACACAAATGAAATCTGGGCCTCAGCCTCTGTCTTGCTGGGTCGCATTGCTGATGAAATGAAGGAGACTGACAGATCTCTCCAGGGCACTACAGGAGACGAGCAATGCAGACCTGTGCGGGCTCCTCTACCTCTAGGAGGGCTCCACTGGGTATTGCACGGATAGAGCCCCAGAAATCAGGCTGCTGGTAGGACTAGCCTTTGGGGAGGTAGCCAGGCACCTTGCAGCTTTGGCATACTGATGCCCTCTGCTCACCTTCCTGGCTGGCATTCCCTCCTCCTCAGCCTCATGCTTCTTCCCCATTATTTCCCACGGTGCTTGGAAGGGGACTGACAGATGTGTGACTGGCGGGGAATCCATTGGAAAAGAAATTAATATAATCGCAGCCAGCTGTAAAAAACCAGCATGTGCCGTGACAGGACGAGCCTGCCCGGTCATCACAAGTTATTCTAGGCTTGGCTCAATGAAGGCCCTTCGTCCTTCAGAAAGCCAGGTCCTGGTTCTACTGGGCTTTGAAGTTGGTGTCGATTTACTTTATGGACAAGAGTATTTTGATCACATGTGTGTCTGTGGACCAGATGTGTTCCTGGAGCTCTTGGAGGTCAGAAGGGGACATGGAATCACTTGGAATGGGAGTTATGGATGGGTGTTAGCCACGTGTGGGTGCTGGGAGTAGAACCCAGGTCCTCTGTAATATCAACAAGTGCTCTTTCTAAGAATAGGTACACTGTCTTGTCCCTAGTTGGGATGGGAATGGTGTTTCCTCATCGCCACCATGGGTGGTACTGACATTGTATTCTTACATGGTACAACCAACCAGCAGTTCTGTAAGTCTGGACTGGAAATCTCAGCTGAATACATGATTGCAGAATGGATCTATGACTAGAATCTTGCTGGAGCTCTTAAGATTGCCTCACTGCTTCCAGAATCAAGGCCAACATTAAGGATGGGGGCCTATGAGATCTTGTCAGGCATCCATAGTAGGTCATGGGTGAGTGTTGTTGGACTTTTCTTTGGTCTGCCAGCTCACAAAAATGACATGGAGACTTCTTATTAATTATGAAAGCTCAGCTTATAGCTTAGGTTTGTCCCACTAGTGCTTATAACTTAAATTAAACCATTTCTTTTCATCTATGTGTTGCCACATAACTCGTGTCTTTTATATACCCTCCACTAACACCATCAATATCTCTCATTGTGGTCAGTTTTCATTCAAATATATTTTAGAATATAGCTGGGTACAGGGTGAGGGGCCAAGACTTGCTTTGAGTGCTTGGGCAGTAAGGCAAATTGTGTCCTCTGAGTATTTAGGGAAGAACTCCTATTTACCATGTTGCGCCTATCCATAATTGGGCCTGCATATGGTTAAACCAGATGCATCATGGGAAGGGGCATTTCAGTAATCCCAGGCTTGTATAAGCCAAGCCCGTTAATCAAAACAGATCCATCTTGTAGCAAGTGTGGGAGGCTGTGTTTGAGGGGCCCACGGTTTGTACCTGAGAGGGGGAGTGTGGATTGAGAAAAGCTAGCTAAAGACATTAATAGAAAAGATGGAGACACAGAATATTATCAGGAGGGCAAAATCCAGCCCATACTGAATGCTCAGAGTTCATTCTTCAACATTCTTAAGTACTGAACCAAAAGTGGGGGCAATGGCAGAAGACTTCTATTATCCTGTATAAGGGCCAGACAGACTTACTTCCCTTAATCCTCCAGGTATCAGGCCTTCAGGGTCAAGAGTAAACACCTCTGAGCCTAAGTCTGTTGTTATTTAAAGACATCCACTACCAAGGCAGAAACATCCTGCAGCAGCCAAGCTATAAACTTACAGATGTAACGGTAGTTTTGAATTCTCTGATATTGAGGCAAGATGAAATGGACCCCTCTTTATGGGCCCTGACAAGCAAGACTTTCTCTGTACTGTCAGCTCCCAAATAAAGATACAGAGACCTATTATTAATTATGAAAGCTTGGCCTTAGCTTAGTCTTGTCTCACCAGCTCTTATAACTTAAATTAACTCATTTATTTTAATCTTATTTCTGTTGTGTGGCACTACCTCATCGCTCTGTACTGCTAATGCTGCTTTCTCCATGTCTGGCTGGAGACCCCCATTTCTTCCTCTCCCAGTCCTCTCTGTCCCCAGGGGTACCACCTGACCTCTTCCTGCCTAGCTGTTGGTCATTCAGCTCTTTATTAAACCAATCATAATGACACATCTTCACACAGTGTAAAGGAATATTCCACAACATTTCCCCCTTTTGTCTAAATAAAAAGGTAGTGTTTTAACTCTATCATAATAAAACTATAAACAATAAGAACAATTACCAAGTAAGAATTACATCCATGATGGCCAGTCCATTTGTATTTGGCATATTCAGAGAAAATACTCTATTATCTATCTTGATGAAATTAAAGTTTTATTCCCAGCCCATTTCTGTCCTAACTTGTATTACCAACCCAAAAACTATCTTTTTAGACCTCAAAACATTTCTTAAATAAACAATTTGAGCTTTTATGTCTCTTAACCTTATAACACTTTATACCTCTTTTTTTTCTTTTTAAAAAATTACTTCATTTAATTAACATTTTTCACTTATTTTACATATTTACCACAGTTCTGCTCCCTCTTCTCCTCCCATTCCTCTGCCTCCACTCCCATCTACCGCTCTCCCCATCCACTTCTCCTTCATCTCCATCCAGAAAGGAGCAGGCCTCCCGTGGGCTTGACTGAAACATTCCACATCAAGTGAAATCAAGTTCCTCCCCCTGCATAAAGGCTGCGTGAGGTAATTATCATGTGGAACAGGTTCCGAAAAGCCAGCTAAGGGCCAGGGACAGGTCCTGATCTCACTGCTAGGAGCCATAGAAACAGACCAAGCTATACAACTGTCACACACATGCAGAGATCTAAGGTCGGTCCCATGCAGGTTCCCTAACGGTTGGTTCAGAGTCCATGAGTTCTCGTGAGCTCAGGTCAGCAGTCTCTGTAGGTTCCTCTGTCATGACTATGACACTGGCCCCTCCTACTGGCTCATAAAATCCCTCCTCCCTTTCTTCAAGAGGACTCCTGGAGCTCTACCCAGTGCTTGGCTGAGGATCTCTGCATCTGCTTCCATCAGTTACTGGATAGAGTGTCTCTGGTGACAGTTGGGGTAGTCACCAATCTGATTACAGGGAAAGGCCAGTTCACTTACCCTCTCCACTCTTGCTAGGAGTCTTAGCTGGGGTCATCCTTGCACTTTACACCTCTTGTGAGTTTTTTTTTCTGAATTTGGTAACAAAGAAAACTATAACTATAACTGTAACTATAACTATCTCATCTTGAACTCCATCAGAGACCCAAGAAGGATTTAATATTATCTGAGTAAACAGGAAGTGCAGAGCAAGCAACTTCCAAAACGGTAGAAATGACAGAAGCAGCTGACTGCTTGGGCCATCACCCAAGTTTCCTCTGAAACATTGGGTCATTCATCTTCAGCCCACCGGCCTAGCATATCCGACAGACTTTTCTGTGAAACAGGATTTTGAAGGACTGTCCTACCTTGTCTTGGTAAAGTTCAGCAGTTGCCTTCCTTTGTGTTCTGCTTGTCCAATTTGGACAGCATGATGTCAGCAGTTGAAGCAAGTACAGTTTATTGCCCAGTGACTAACTTTGCCACAAAGGAAAGCAAACTTTCTTCAGTGCACATCATCTTCTCTGAAGTAGATTAGTGCTTCCAGGAGCAAACTTGT